GTCATAGTAATTGTACACCAGTCTTGTCCTGTCCAGGGGCCTAGGTATTGCATCAGCCCATTAATCACTTGTTAGGTTCGTGTGCAAAACCTAGTACATGTTACATACATGTCTGGGGTATAAATAGAGACGACCAGGTGACTCAGCGGGCACTTTCTTGCTGGAACTGAGGGAGGAAAGACCTGTGTGCCTCCAGGGATTGACACTTGATGGACTTAGACTAATTCTACGCATATATCTGATGGACTTAGAAGATTTTCATCACATATATTGAGGGACTTAGATGATTTTACCCTGATGTACCTAGAGGATCTTAGGCAGATTCTACAAATACTGAGAGGCACTTAAGAGGAATTAACCTGCGGTACTTAGTGGATATTACCCTGGTATACTTAGAGGATCTTAGGCAGATTCGACAAACCCATTGAGGGACTTAGAGGATTATACCCAGAGGTATTTCGAGGATCTTGAGACAGATTCGACACACCTGTAGATGGACTTAGCAGATTTTTAGGTAGATGCACTTAGAGGATATAATCTAGAGGATTATTCGCATATATTGAGGGACTTAGCCAATATTCACAATAGTTGCCTGGAGTTTGATGCCCAGAGGAACTTAAGGAATATTCACGCATATATCTGATGGACTTAGAAGATTTTCATCCCACATATTGAGGGACTTAGAGGATATTACCCTGGTATACTTAGAGGATCTTAGGCAGATTCGACAAACCCATTGAGGGACTTAGAGGATTTTAGCCAGAGGTACTTAGAGGATCTTGGGATAGATTCAACACACCTGTAGAGAGACTGAGTGGATTTTAGGTAGAGGTATACTTAGAGGCATACCTGTAGGTGGACTTAGCAGATTTTAGGTTGATGCACTTAGAGGATATAACCTTGAGGGACTTAGCCAATATTCACAATAGTTGCCTGGAGTTTGATGCCCAGAGGAACTTAAGGAATATTCACGCACTTATTGAGGGACTTAGCCAATATTCACCAAAGTTGCCTGGAGTTTGATGCCCAGAGGAACTTCGTAGATCTCATACATCCATAAGTTGATGGACTTAGAATATTCATTGCTGGCTAGAGGAACTTTGTAGATTTCCTACATCTACAACTTGAACTTAGAATAATACCAGCTTGAGGGACTTAGAATATTCATCGCTGGCTAGAGAAACTTTGTAGATTTCACACATCTACAACTTGATGGACTTAGAATATTTGCCAGCTTGAGGGACTTAGAATATTCATCTCTACCTAGAGGAACTTTGTAGATTTCACACATCTATAACTTGATGGACTTAGAATATTCGCCAGCTTGAGGGACTTAGAATATTCATTGCTGGCTAGAGGAACTTTGTAGATTTCCTATATATTACCAGCTTGAGGACTTAGAATATTCACTGCTGGTTAGAGGAACTTTGTAGATTTCACACATCTATAACTTGGTGGACTTAGAATATTCGCCAGCTTGAGGGACTTAGAATATTCATCTCTACCTAGAGGAACTTTGTAGATTTCACACATCTATAACTTGATGGACTTAGAATATTCGCCAGCTTGAGGGACTTAGAATATTCATTGCTGATTAGAGGAACTTTGTAGATTTCCTATATCTACCACTTGATGGACTTAGAATATTCGTCAACTTGATGGACTTAGAATATTTGCCAGCTTGGGGGACTTAGAATATTCATCTCTACCTAGAGGAACTTTGTAGATTTCACACATCTATAACTTGATGGACTTAGAATATTCGTCAACTTGGTGGACTTAGAATATTCATCGCTGGCTAGAGGAACTTTGTAGATTTCACACATCTATAACTTGGTGGACTTAGAATATTCGCCAGCTTGAGGGACTTAGAATATTCATCTCTATCTAGAGGAACTTTGTAGATTTCACACATCTATAACTTGATGGACTTAGATTATATCGTCAGCTTGGTGGACTTAGAATATTCATCGCTTGTCTGAAGAACTTAGCAGATTCCATACATCTTCAGTTGATAGACTTAGAATATTCACAACTCATTTGATGAACTTAGATATCTTCAACTTGGTGGACTTAGAATATGCTTCGCTCAGCTGATGAAAAACTATACTAGTGATGAACACTTTTATATATAGATAAATATACAAGTATAATTGCATAAAGGACTTATAATTAGTACCTCTGAAACTGAAACTTAGTATCAATTGTCGTTTTGTGTTGTATTATTTTGAGGCGGATGAAGCCAGAATATATGTTGTTAATTTTATATTAAATATTGTGTCTCTTTATTCATGCGTACATTTAACGTGTACCAAGTATCCTACGAAGTAACCTGGTCTGATTAATAACAACATCCACACTACCACAAATTAGGCCAGACGTTACAATATGTTTACATTAAGTGAAACAAAGATATTAAGCAGTTGCATTCCAGTAATAGCGTGGGTCAATGACGTTGCATCCTGCGTGATCCTTTCAAATATCTATCCATAAATGGTTGACAAAATACCTTTAATGTATATTGGCCCTTTGCGTGCCATTTTGACTATGATCTCGTGTAAAATTTAATATAACAAATTAATTTAAAATGCAATATACTCTTATATGTTTTATATTAATATTTAATGCAAAATATCAATGATAAATACCCTATACCATCAAACAAGGCTAACCTAGTAATATCTTATTTGTAACATTTGTGACTCGGATTATTTGATCACCCTGCTTGTATTTTCCTTCGAGGAAATTATTTGATGTATTCAGGCACCGATCAGGTAGTCAAATCGGAATAAACATACCTCGTCAATTCGTGACTCGTCTCCTGTAAAATGACACATAAATCGATGACGAAAGCACACTAAAATCATTTGATAATTTTGCAATAATAGCTTGCGAAATATATCTTCTACAAAAGGTAATAATTATCTCATATTGTCAAGTGGGTACAACCGAACAGGTGTATCAATACCATCAATGTTCTCCCTTTAATAAATATACCAGCGTTAGAAACATTTCTGATTGGATCACATTAATCACATGACGAATGCGGAATCGATATTATGAGAACATCATTTTTTATCAGTGAGGTTTCAACGAGCCGCGTGTTACGGAATATACAATCTCAACAAGTCAAAGAACAATAAAACACAAGCATAATGTGTATTTAATAACTAGTATTTGCGAATGAAAATGATTTTGTGTGAAGAAGAAATCTGTTTGCTATATTATTTTTATATTTTGAGGACAACCTAATTGTCTCAAGTTTGGTGGGAGAAAACATATGTTTTGATTCCGAACATTTTTTATTAAAATTAATAGTACTAATCTTTTGTTTCAAAAATGAAAGTTCTTGTTTTCATTTTCTAAAGTAGTTTTATGTACAATACTACTAATTAAAAACACGACCTGTCAATTATATGTCTTAGATGACTATTTTAATTATTTTTTTTATTACTATACGCAATAATAATTTCGGTTCCAAGTTAGATGCACTGGTATCAGTACATCTGTTCAATTTATTAAAATGCATTTTTATTTAGTTTATTTCCAGCTTTCATTAAGCGTAACAGAAGTTTACACGCGCGTCCGCTTGGCGATAAGACGACCGAGTCAATTAAGGTGCTACTAATTATTACCAAATTAATGGCATATTTCATTGATGTCTTGATCTTATAATTCTTTAATTTGTTTGTTACATCACGAGTTGATAATCAGGTTAGATAGATTCTAGTCGTTTATGATAGTCACAATGTGCATACACGTGCGTATCGAGAACAACGCTGGTATACATAGATTATAGATAACTCGATTCATTTTGATTCTTGATAATTTATGTGGTAGAATTTAGTTTATAAATAATACATGCACTATTTGCAGTAACCTAAACACTAACCAACGTTGCAGTTACGAAGACCATCTCAAAATGTGCAAAATTTCATGAACAACGCGCCAAAAATATCAAATCAAAACAATCGTAGAAATCAGAATTCTGATCGATTTGAAATGGTGTTTGAAAACTTGCATCTTCATAGGTAGATAATAGATAATAAACTCTTCTTGAAAAGAAACTTCAGCTACATTTATCTTTGGCCAAAACGTATCAGACCCCGGGTATCAGACTTTGGAAAATATATTCTAAAAGAAGGATTGGGCTTTCTCATCTTTACTTCGTTCTAGGTAATAAATATGTACGACAGGTCTACTACTACCTTTCTCATTTACTGCCGACACTATCTTATTGACACTCTCGCTTGGTTGACGATCATTTTGTTCCAGAAATCCGAACGGCGGAAATTATCCGTCTGAAAGCAATTATTTAACGTTTTGTGCCACTGCCAATACCTGTAATGTGCTATTCCGGTGAATGAGTATCCGTTCGTTCGTAAATCTGGGAGAGAATCTGGCCATTTCAACTTCGAGGTCTTCGAACATTTTCATAGTCGAGAGATAAGGTGTTCCTTAGAATATGTTGGGGGGGGGATGCGATCGCCAAAAGAAGCTTCAAATAAAAGGCGTTTTAGAGCTCATTTCTTCTTCTATACGATTCAATAGTTCTATTTTATTGGTTATGGGGGGGGGGGGGGGGGGGTTACCATCACACCCCTCCTGGCTGCGCCTACCCATTACTATTTTCAGATTCAGTGAAATTGACGACCCTCTTCAATTTCATAATTTCGAGTCGACGGTTGATAAGGTTGATTAAAAAAACAATAAATAGCATGGTAAGGGATAGCAAGGCAGGTGCTTATGCAGGTCAAATGTCAACCGGTTGGTTTTAACTATTCAACCTTTGAAAACCCTTGCACAAAAGTTTCCTTGCAAAATAAATTCATTCGTTTAGGTATACCGTGCAAACTCATTTGCAGGGTGTGAAAAGAATTTATGCGCACGACTCAATTTGATTCTGGATATTTAATCCACTCATGTATTGTATCCTAGATTTTGTTTAAATTATACAATTCATTGAGTCCTGGGGTTTAATCCTTCATTATTGATTGGATGGTGCTTAAAGAGGATCGGGAGTCGGAGGCGAGTGCTCAGGTGACTGGAGGTTCGCACAATCAGACAATAAGCAATTTAAAGAACATTTGTAATGATGCTAATTTAATATATTATTCAACATTTTGCAAAAATCTATCGTCTCTATCTATTATAATCTGTCTTTTAATATTATACAATTGCATTTAAATTGCCACCTGCATTTGGTCGATATTTTTTTCGTAGATAACCCACGCCAACAATAACATGTGCACTATTTTATCATACATATAAAGTGACCTCTTCTGGAATAATATCTTATTTATTTTTTACAATTAAGAATAGTAAAACAGTTAGTTGTTTTGTTCATTTTGAATATTCCGTAGATCCCGCACGCCTTCATATATGGCGTTTCAACTCTGACCTCGTTGAGATTTTATTCACCGGACATGAACGCTGATTATGTATTGGGAAATGGAGATCATTGCGTAGAATTTAATAATGCCGTATTTCTTAAGATGCCGCATATGATAATCGTATAGTATATTTGTTGATATATCCATTATACTAGATTCATATTTGCTCTTGAAACGCGACACATGTAATGCCTTTAATCTGATAATTGCGGTATGCTGAATGGCTTTTTGTGACTTTAGAATCATTTAACGGAGTTCAAAATTGACATTTGAGAGAGGTTTTCTCGACCCACAATTCTCTTCGTTTACATACTTTACATTTATAGTGGATGCTACCGCTAGGCATTTTATTTTTAAGTTGTAATTTTCAGGTGCTTTCGAAATAGGAATTCCTCATGCTGATTCAAGCAATTGGGCCCCACATAAGGTTGTAGCCAGTATGAAGTCCATCTTCCTCATCTGCTTCCACTCCATCGACAATGTCATCCAAATCGTAGTAAGCTAGAGCCATATCGTTGAATTGTTCCTTTGTAACATAACCATTGTTTTCCTTATCCATCCATTTAAACGTGGCTTCACAAAGTGAATCATTCCATTTTTGCATATGCCAGTAGCTTTTGAACTCCTCGAAAGACATGCGTCCTTTTTTGGCGGTTTCTATCACGTCAAATATTGCAGAGTATGCGTTCTTGTATCTGTTTAGCGTGGCCTCTGTTTTGCCAAAGCTGGCTCTCCATACGGTGTTTATGAACTCTTCTCGCGTGATTGAATCTTTATGTGGTGCCATAATGTGGAACAACATGTAATATGCGTGCACTATACGTTCAGCGTCTTCATCTGAAAGTGCAATTTACCCAAAATCATTTTCCAGTATCCTATACACTCGCTAGTAAATGAATGCTTTCTGTAACAATATATTTTTATTTCATTGAATTTAAAAAGTTAATTGCATAGCTTAATTCTTCAGTTTAATTCTAGACGTTTTGAATTTTTTAGCTTAATTTCACGACGTACCTTCCATATTATAGTATTTCTTGAAACGCCCAGCGGCGCTCCTGACGGCACTCTTGGTCAAAACACCGCTGTTTGTGACGTCAATGTTGCTAAACATCGTACCAACTTTCCGAGCCCAGAAAGCGGGAATCCCCTTGCTCAAAGGTTGCTGAAAAATAATGTTATTTTTATTTCATATATTTTTACATGGAATGAAATAATAAATGGCGTTATTTGTTATAAATCTTAAATGGGTTTCTTATATGAACTTATTATTTGATTTGATAATGTTACAGTTTAGTAGCAGTAACAGTAGTGCCTTCTTCACAAAAAATTAGTTCTCACTACTTTATTGAAACAGTACGGATGGGACGTATTTGCAACTTTTTACGATCTAATACGAATTTTCTGTTCCCGGATAGACCCACCATGACCTAATTACGTCCTTAGTCAATCGTTTTCCGTGAAATAAATATTCCCGAAGGACTTGATTTTTAAAGTTCACAGGAGGTTCTCATGATGTTCTATTCCTTTTTAGTTTATTTGTATTTTGGAGACTATTTAGGAACGAACTAGCATCGCATTTATTACAGCATTCCGATCAAATCTCGTTTTACGATATTTAAGAACGTAATAGGACGTTTTGATTTTCGATGTGACTGAAGCTTTGCATCGCCAAGGACGTTTTAACGATATAAATGACGTCTTATTAACAAAAGTGATCGGTATATTTTGACCCCTAAACTTTCTGAAAGTCATGATCTATGTCTCAAACGCGAATTGGAACGTAGGTGATGCAACTGTTGTTCAAGTTGCCACCAAATCTAACATGCTGCATCGCAGCGAAATGCGCAAAGACGTACTCAGTATTGAATCTGAATATCGAAATATTATCGGAAATATTTTCAACACTCGTTTATATAAAATGCGTCATTAGCCTTACCTCCATATCGTTGACTTGAATCAAAATAATGTTGCCTTATGACAAGAAAACAGGCCAAGATGTATTATAACCAAAAAGGAAACCAACTGAACTTAAATTGGCATAGATGTTATTATTTTCTACAACTTTGCGTTTTGTATTAATGCGATTTTCAGGTCATATTTATTGTTTTGCTACCCTTTGCATTCGTTCGACTTCACTTATTGTTTTGCTCATGTTTTATCTAAATAAAGTCTATTTTGGAGGAAAGTTAATCCACCGTACAAAAAGGATTGTTGAAATCAGAGGGCACCCCCTATTTGCCAAGTGTTATATAATATAATGATTCGGTCTTAGGAGGACAGTTATTTGATATAGTTTAAGGACAACATGACCTGCACAAGGACAAACTGGTTTTGCAATTTACCATGTCGTCGCTTTCGATGAACACGAAATATTTAAATATTTCAAATTGCGCTAGTGCGTTATCAAGAACGAAAATAATTCGTAACTTCGCGTTGTGTCCAGTTCTAAAGTCAAAGATATCTTGGACTCACAACAATACTCCTCACCTAGAGTGACATCACTGATGGGTGGTTCGAACCTCTCTCAGTTCGATTTTACTGATATAAAATCCCAAATACATATCCAAAATCCTGATAGTTACCCAGCAAATTATGACGTCACATAGGCTGTTTGTTTTACTATCATTTAGGGTGGAGTATTTACGGTTTCACTTGTAATATTCCTTTAAGTGTTTTATTAACCAAACTAGCCGTGTATAATAGTATGCCATTCAATAAAGAAAAGTGTATTTCCATGAATATTTAACGTCTTATTATACTCAAGTGAAAAGATTATAGCGGTTAACTCACTCATAAATTTACTTAGTATGCATATTTAACCAGCCTTAATTCTTTATTCATAGAATAAATTGTCCAAATTAATTGTTTTGTTTTTGGTATTTACAGTTTAAAACGGTAAATATATTGATACAAAGAGCTGGTTATTAAGTGCATAAAGAAATTAATAGTATCGCCTTTATCCTAATCAGGGACAAACTTATTTCTGTTAACGGGGGAAGTGTAACCGAAGACGAAAAACAAACAACGTTAGGCCTATACTTGAATGCATGTTTTCATTGAAAATGTCGCATTTGTTTTATAATTTTATTTTTACCTAAACTAATTTTATTCTTGTTTGTTCATGTGAAGTGAGTGAAAAATGTTAACCGAGTACGAAAAACAAATAATATTAGGCTTATACTTTAAATGTACATGTCCATAGAAAATGTCGCTCCAGCTTTATCCATTTTACCCTCTAACTTAACTTAAGATATTCTTGCTTGTTCATGTGTAGTGAATGAAAGATGTTAACCTAACTGAGAGCTAATCTATTTGAATCTAAGTAGACTTACGAGATATCATGGGATTAAGCTGCTTTAATTAGACTGAGCTAGACTTAGCTATCATTTAATCTGATTTTAGCTAAACTTTTATTGATTTTCTTGTATAGTTTACATAGATCTATACACCCAATAGATTGGAAACCCATTTAAGAATCCCCTTACGTGATCCCAGTGTCCCACTGTGTACGAACCTGAGAAAACTTCGCGAATTTATAATTGTTTTACGCCAAATGATAATCGTTGTTATGGCAACGGATTATACTTTGTAAGCGTATAGTTTTTTAGTGGTACTCTTGAATTAATAGACAAATAGAGCAAGACAATATCAGAACACCTGCAAAGATGCTAGATTAACATAACAGGAACAGAATCGGAACAAATCGGATTTTTGCTGTCCTTACATATATCATTTCCTATTGTTACTGATCGCCTATTCATTTTTTCATCCATTCCTTTATTCGACTTTTGTCCGATTAAGTCAGTACAACTAATTTTTAAATATTCGTTTTTCTGAAATCTTGTCATTTCGTGGGAACGCAGATTGAAAGACAAAACACGATGTATTGTTTTATAGAGATAATGATTTATAATACAATTTCAGCAGCTAGATATAATACCAGAGTCATACATTAACAAAGCTAATTAAAGAGTAATTCTTCTAGTGGAAATTTGATAGTGTTGAAAATTTCTGAGGGTCGGATATGGTTTCAATCATAAATCTTTCATGCATGTACTCATATTCTTTGGTTACAAAAAGTCTTTTTTAAGAGTCTGTGTTGATGTTATATGTTTCATTTTATATGATACTGTAGTTCCTCTTTCAATTATTGACAATATTGTCTGACCATATTTATAACTTCTTTACATATTCGGAGCCGTTGACATAACATGGGATTGAACAATTCTTAAGCTGTTAAGTGACTTATATCAAGAAAGATGCAGCAGATTTAGTTGTATGACGAGGATAACTAATCTATGCATGGCCCTAACTCCCCCTCAATGCCAAGGGTACATTTTTAAAAAAGCTCGGATAACGAGGGCTTATAATATTACCATCCGGGTATACTAGAGGCATGTCGGATAAACTAAATTTTTGTTTGTACATAGTAAAGGGAGTTTTGATTTAAATTATTGCATTGTATTGCACCATTGTTGCAGACACCTATTTATAATTAATTATCGGTCAATAAATGAATAAAAACTAAATCAAGAAGTACGTCTCTACGTACGAACACGTCAACATCGTCCATATCCGCTCTACATGTGCATGTATAATAGAAACTAGATTTAAACTAAAGAAATCCTAGGAAACAGAAAATTACCCCAATAAAGTATAAATATGAAACAGCAACTATAAAATAGATCTACTTTAATGATGGAAATACGTCTTGTAACATATTCTTATAAGATACAGAGATTATAACACTAAAATATACGAGATCATAATCATAGATCGAACTAATGTTTAAGGTAAAACTTTGGTGCATATCTTAGCCATCGGACATGGACGATCTTGTGGACTGGCTGGTTGTAATAACTCATCAGCCCCGGGTCAACATCGCCGGATTTGTCCGGTGGCTCGACGCTTAGGAAAAACACTGCTCATAATAGTATCATGTTCAATTTGCAAAGTTCGGAGAAGTCACACAAATTAGTTATATATTTTCATCCGTAGGCCATAACTAAAGGCTGAGTTTTGCCTAAAACTATATATTTCAACGTTTCAAATGAACCCTTCTTCAACGCTCCTTGTTTACATCCTCAGCCAAATAAAACCCTTTAATAAGATAAACTAAACTAAAAAAATAATTAACAAATTCATCGGACATTGAAAACGGAAAAGTTCCGTCTCAAACATATGGCGTTACATTGTTAGTACGGAAGGAAACGTTGATCAATCGCTGGCGAGTTTGTTTATGAATCGATCCTGGTATTCAATTGTAATGGCTTCAACTGTGTTTGCTCTGTTTGAACACGTCTTAGAAGGTTCTATGCCTATATTGATGCAGGCTCGGGTAGCATTATTTCATTTTCTCTTGGGCGATTGTTTGTACACCTTTCGCCGTATCGAACCTTATTTCTTCGCTAATAAGCCGGGTATCGATCCTTTCACCTTTGGGCTAATCTCCCCTTTCATTGACATGGTTTGTCTGTTTGGAAAAATATCTGTTCTCGTTCCTTTCATTCAGATTTGGGATAAAATATGGAATATTCTGGACAGTCTGGGTGTTTAGATCATGTTTTAGATTTCTGTGTTGCTATTTCGTCTCCTTAGTTTCTTTACGATACAATGTCCTTGTATCCATTGCAGGGGGCTAATCTTTCTAGAGATAAACGTTCCTAAATTGAATTCATGAAATTTTAATCACACTAAAAGAGAAGAGTATCACCATGTTTAAAGCATTTTACTTGTTGATTCAGAAGCTCCATAAGGCAAGAAGATTTCCAGACAAGAGTGGAATATCAACTCCTCCTTTTGGTTCCGTCGATAATATCTTTGATATATGAGTATTACAGTCTGTAACGAGCTAATTGGATTCATTTTGCTCTTTATCATACGAGTACATTATTTCATATATCATCGCTTTTGATAGTATATCGGGTTTGATTTGCCCAACTGCTTGACATTTCCGGACTTGTAGGATATAATTGGTGGCCTATTGTCAGGATAGGAAAACACTAGCTAGACATGCTATATTGTGTTGGCCTATTCACTCTTTCTGACTCACATTCCAAACCAACATGCGAATCCATTCAAACATAGAAACAATCATTACATTTCATTTAAACAAAACCATTTGTTCCACGCGTTTATCAATAATTCCTCAGTGGATGGTTATACTTTTGTACATGTACCACAGAGAGAATCCTTGAGAGACAATATTCCAAGGATTTGCATCTTCAATCAGGGGGTTCTGGGGTTCTATATACGCTCGAGTGTTATTGTTGCCAGCTAACTCCATATCGTTCTATTCAAAAATCAATTATTTAATTATACCCTTTCGCAAACTGCAGCGATGTGGAATCATTTTTGTATTGTCTGTTGAAGTTATATAACTATAAACTAGAAATGAGGAATATTAAGCGTTATTTCAGAAATACATAAGATCGATGCCGACCTATTTTTATGGAGGGGAGAGTGAAACAGGTCATGTAGAAGTAATTAAAGGGGAGTCTATGATAGTTGATATTTAAAGGTATTCATTTCATAGAACAATTGCCTCATCGTCAAGTCCTTCAATTAAAGGCCTTGTGTCATATGTACACCGCAATACCGATTGAGATTTAATCATTTCATTATAGGTTTAGTTTGCGGTTTATTATGCTTTTTTGAAAGTCCTATTCCATATTGAACGATTTCTAAGTTGCTTTTGAATGCTCTTGTAAATTGATTACATTTGTGTGACATGATTCCGAGTCCTGATAGTAGAAATGAGTATGAATGCAATGTTCTTTTAAAACCGCGTGCATTTGCATAATCATTGTCAAACATGTACATCTGCACATTCGACTGATACAATTGCATGGTTTTAGATTCCAAATCAACAACACGTCCCACGAGATTACACAAACGGTCTAACATGGACTAATTTGCTGACATTTTAACAGTTCCAATCGAGTTCAACGTGTAAATTGGCAATGGAACCTATTCCCTCTTTGTTCTAGTATTTTGACATTATAGAGTACGCAGCCATTTGTTAATGACAAATGCACCCTTGTGTAATTGTAATGCTAGGCTTCTGTTAAGAAATTAAAACACAGACCGAAACTCTTAGAAATATATAAAATGCCAAAAGAGTAAGACCAAAAGATGTACATGGGATTAACATGCATAATGTCACCACATGCCATTTGTAACAGATGCCGAACGTCGACCACCGAACGCCATACACCGAAAACACCATCCACAAAAAGTTGTGGTGGCGACCAAAAAACCCCAACATATTTGCATAAAAGTAACGTTTATAAACGTTTATAACCTGAGCCAAGCAAGCAATTTTCTAGGATATCAAACGTTGTACAATGCAAAACAACAGCAATTAAAACACGTCAGTGGATTAGAATCATTAAGATTATTTGATTATAGAATCAAAAGATAGAAAATGAGTTCATTTTGGTGGGCTATTTGCTTCTCTAAAATGGTCCAGTAAATCGGTTGCGTCTTCAATAGACCAAGATCGCTTTAATTTCCACACAATTAAGCGTGGATTCTTCTCTAGTAAAAGCTATCCATCC